TAGCATAATACAGTAAAACCTCGATTAACCACCCACATATGGGGGGAAGGGGCCGACTGATAATTTGAAAGGTTGGTTAATGGTAAATAAAATCTACGGAAATAAAACATACATTTTCAAAGTACCTATCCCTAACCTACCTTATTTAAGTCCCTCTATTCATTTTTGTTCATTTGCCATGCATATTTCAATAGAATTTGCTTTAAAACATTAATCACTTTAGTAAATCAATATGAACCAGCACAGAAACCGTGAATAAAAAATGGAAAAGTCAAAGAACATATGTCATCACAAAAATTGTGACCTAGTCCCAGGCTGCTGATCTGACTTTCTACCTCATTTACACACAATTGCAGGGTATCAATTATTTCTCTTATTATTGACAACACAATATACATATAGGTATATTGTTTCTCACTCTTAATTTATTTTTTCATTTTTGCATTTCTTTATGGTTCCTTATTATTATTATTATTATTATTATTATTATTATTATTATTATTATTATTATTATTATTATTATTATTATTATTATTGCCATCCAGGCCCCGATGTGGGTCAGTGACCTGTGCCCGGGTGGGCTACTCCCTGTAAAAAAAAAAAAATAGGGGTCCGGGATCGGCGGTTAATCCGAAAGTCGGTTAATTGAGGTTTTACTGTACTAAAGAATAACCTCCAGAATGTATATGTGATATTGATGAAATGACTGTGGGGTGACAAATCGTGGAACCATCATGGCCCACTAAATGATATATATACAGTAAACCCTTGTTACTCGCAGGTTTGCGATTCAAGCCTCTCCCGCAGCACAGCTAGTCACCCCCACATGCTCGCAGCATTCTCTTTCCCTTGCTTACCCTCATCCATTGCCTGTAATGCAGCATCGCTTGTGTTGTGCTCCAAACTTTAGTGTTTTGTGTGAAATGGCCCCTAATAGACTGCCTAGTGTCAGTGCTAGTGATACTAGTGGAGTGAAACATAAAAGGCAGAAGTCAGTGATGACCCTGACAAAGAAAGTTGAATTATTAGATAAGTTAAAAGAGGGGATGAGTGCTGCCTTGGCTGGTCAGTTGTTTGGTACAGGTGTACTGTAGTGCACTAAGGTAATATAAGTTGCTATTCTTGGTTTTGCCTATTCACACCATTAATGTCGTTGTTAGGTTCCTGAAATCCACAACTTTAAGTATAACGACGCTAAGTGAAAATGATTTTACCATAGACACAACAATATACAGTAAATAGGGGTTGTGTTCCTTGGATACATTTCTGGTAAAAATGTTCTCATGCAATTTCTGATTAAAGACCAAAAACTTGTTCAGCATTCTTCCAAGTTAACTTTGCAGCAGATAATGGAGTAACACTTTTAGCAATTTTTTTTTTCTTCATTTCTTTTATCCTCTTCGCCACTGATCGGCTTGTTAGCCACTTGGGCGATCATTCACGTCTGTTACGCACTGGTGGCAAGTACTGGGCATGCACCGGCTCCTGAATGTATCTGAACCTGCTGCAGTGCTTGCCAAGTCTGGTCTTGAAACAGCTTACACTCGGTGCCATCACAACATTCTCCGGCAGGTTGTTCCAAGAGTTTACAATTCTCACTCCGAAAAAAATTTGCCCTCATACTTTTATGGACTTGCGGCTTCTTCAACCTCGAGCTGTGACCCCTTGCGGGGTGGGTGTCTACCAACTTCAGGTATGGACACTCGACTGAGTAGTGCCCCTTGAGATGTTTATACATCTCATTTAGGTCACCCCTTGCCCATTTACAGGTGCTCTAATCTCTCCGGATAGCTGAGGACCCAAAGTGCAAGCACCAGTCTGGTGCCCCTCCTTTAGACAATTTCATTCAACTGGCAGTCTCTAGCATTTCTCGGAGACCAGACAGGGTGACAGTCCTCCAGCTAGGAAGTACCTCACTCTTGAAGATAGTTACGAGGGACAGACTGTCTAGATATGTAAACGACCTTCTTATAAGACCTAATAATTTAGTTGCTTGATTTAACTTCTTCTCATAATGGCTTGAGAACTTCAGTTCATGGTCAACATACACACCCAGGTCCTTGTCACTTTGTCTCTATTAATGCAGCGTCTTCATCCCTTGGGACATAAGATACGCCTTCTTCCTGTTGGTGTGTCCCAGGTGCATCTTTTTACACTTTGTGACATTGAATCTTAGCAGCCATTTCTTCAACCATTCTTGAATCACACAGAGGTTTTTCTGTAGCTCTTTACAGTCTGTTGCTTCTTAATTTCTCTGAATAACTTGGCATCGTCCATAAAAATTTGCATGGAGAAATGTACAGCTCTGGCAAGTCATTTATGAAACAAACAAACAACAACGGGCCCATTTAACTTGCCTGTGGTACCCCGTTTGTCACAGGCATACATGATGATTTTGTACCATTAATCAACAGCCACTGCTTGAGATCATGCAGAAAGTCTCCAATCCATGCTAGGACACTTCCCCGAATCCCATACCCTTCCAGTTAAATTCTTAGCCTTTCATGGGGTGCGGTTTCAAAGCCTTGGCAAAATGTAGGTACAGTAGGGTCGGGATATATCGCGAGATAGAGTCCAAGGATGTTTGCTATATACTAAATCGCGATATGTAATTACATGTAATTATTGGGGAAAATAGGGTTAGGTTCTGGAGGCCAATAAAAGTGACTAAACTTGACCTAAAACTGCTCAGACTAAAGTAAGCAGAATATAAATTGCATTGGTGGAATCCTTGCAAGACAAAGAATAATTTGTATGTGGACATCATATATTTTTCACAAGAGATAAAATTTTTAGTCTTTTAGAGTACATTTAAGTACAGTACTGCAGTACTGTACAGTTTTTCAACTAGTATTTTTGGGGCAATTTAGGGGATTTTTAAGAGTGTTTCTGACTTTATATGGGTTTTGGCTTGATGTTAAGTCCCAGGAACATAACCCCATGAAAGTTGTGAGTCTTGTGTAATTAAATTTACCGCTATAACTGTACAGTGGGGTATGCTATAACGAACGGATCCTACTACGAATATTCCTATAACGAACGGTTTTACCTATAAAATTGAGAATGCTATAACGAACGAAACTCCTACAACGAACATTATTTAAAATTTTTTTTGTTAATTTATTGTTTTTTTATTACAAATATTAATGATATTCTTTATTTCAGGGGTTTAGACTTACGACGGTGTTAGGGACCCAAATCCAGGTCGTAAGTCGAAATGGTCGTAAGTCGAAAATGCTTAAATAATACGTACACAGAAAATCTAAAATGGGTGTCTCTTTTTCTTCTCAGCACCACAAAACTCTCACTTTTAAGATTGCCAGCCATTTTAAAGTGAATTACAAACAAAAATTTTGTCTGTTTGCTGACGTTGGGACTCGAAAATACGTAATTTGACAAAATTTTCGTATGACTGAAGCAGGTTGTAACTGCGGGTGGTCGTATGTCAGGGAGGAGCTGTATTGTTGATATTGCTGCCCTGTTCCAGAATTTGAGTCCAAACATTCAGTACCTTGAGTAATTGTGTTAACAGAAGCGTTCCGGCATTAAACTGTGTTGGCAATCCTATACAACGCTGTTTCATAGTATATATTCCATCATGGCATCTTTTATAATGTTCATGGCATCTCTTATAATGTACTCAGGTACTTTACATACTATGATGGTCAGGCTCACTTGTCTATAATTATTAGTGGAGTGATGATTGCCCTTCTTGAAGATGAGACTCACATAAGCCATTTTCTAGTCTGTTCATCCAGGGATTTATAGAACAGGATCTTCAGGGGCTCGGCAAGCTCATTGCACAACTCTCTTAGCACTCTGGGATGCACCTTGTCAGGGCCGGGACTCTTATGGACCTTTAGCTTTGACAGTTTATTCTTATAGTACCCTCTTCTGTGAACACAATGTGGGTCAGTGCTGTGTCGAACAGTCTGTCCTCAAACGCAGGAAGGTTAATCGCATCCTCTCATGTGAACACCAAGGAAAAGAAGCTGTTCAATGTCTCAGCTTTATCCTGGTCAGAATCTGTGTAACTACCATCTTCAGGCCTTAGGTCTGATACTCCTACTCGCGTTTTATTTTTGACTTAGCATAGCGGTAAAACGCCTTTGGGTTTGGCTTGACCTCGCTTTCAACCAGCCTCTTGAACTCATTTTCAGCCCTTCTACACTCTGCCTTTGCTTGGTTTCTGGCTCTTGCATACATTCTCCTGTCCTGTTCATCGTTTGACCTAACCCATGTCTTGAATTTCTGGGTTTTCTTCTCAACTTTGTCAATCGCCTTATGGTTCATGCGTAGGGGTATCCCCGTATTCCTAGAGGCGCACTGGGTTTGTCCTTGGTTATATATTTATCGATCAAATGGGTCACTTTACTAGTTATGATATTCAGCATAGTGTCTGCGTTCTTGTGCCTTAGTGAGTCAGGACAATGGATGCCCCTCATCTCTTCTCTCATCCCGTCGTAATTTCCCTTGTAATATTTGCACCTTGGCCTGCCTTTATCATGAACGAGGTAACAGTTAATTAGGAATGACAACACTACATGGTGACTGGTGTCAACTGGCTCTAGATGTTCCAGTTTGGCCACCATACACTCTTCGTTTTTTATGATGAGGTCTAGTTGCTTGGGTGTTTCCTCCCCTCTGTAATGTGTCGGGTGTTTAACTTGTTGGAAAAGAAAATAATCTCTCAGAGTTTCTACATAAAGAACAATAGGGTTATTCAAGTCATTTGGGGGAACTCGTTTCTCCAGTTGATGTCGCCATAGTTAAAGTCCCCCATGATAAGGATGTGGCTAGGGTTGAGCATCACTTCTTTGTCTATTAAGGCTCTTAAGTTCCTTTGGTTTAGTAAGTTACAGTTTGGGGATCTGTAGATACTCCCGACAGTAATTAAGTCTCCTCCCTTGAATTTAATTTTACACCACTTGGATTCTTCAAAAAAATCCTCTCCCTGTACCCTCGCCTGGCTGGCTCTAAGGTCTTGCTTAGCATAGATAACCACACCCCTCTTGCAAGTTTCTTGGGAAAGGTTCATAAATGAGTCATATCCAGCAATACTGAACTCGCATTCCTCTGGGTCGATTCTCCTGTTCTTGTACAACAGTTCTACAAATCCTACAATATCATGTAGTGCTTTAAACTCCTCTCTCTTATCTAGGAATTTGTCAGTATTAGTGTACATGACATTTAAGATATAATTTGTTCTCGGTAACGTCTCTGCTGTTAGTAGTAACTCCGACCCCCCTCCATTCTCAGAAGCTGCAGCATTTGCTAAGTACACTGTATTTTGCAGGGTGTGGTTAGAAATGTCATTGTTTACACGGCGCTTGCTTCTTCCCGGGTGGGAGGTAGAGCGGGTGGAGGGTGTTCCTGGCTCTGTGTCACACACTTGCTTCCACTACCCTCTCCCTGGATATAACCCATGTACACCCGTCCCCGTTCCTCTTCGACTCCTCTCTCTTATGCTTCAAGCCCTGTAGGAGCTTCTTACGCTGTTCCCTATGTAATACCGTGCGATCTGGGCGAATGAATACATTCTGAAACGTCTCGCTCTTTGCTAATTTTTTTATGTGCCGGATAACCTCCCATTTCTCCTCCTCACTCACTAGTGTGATCTTGAGGGGGCGAGGCTTGTTCCCCTGCTTTTGTCCCAGCCTCCTCACATTCTGGGGGGGGGGGTGGCTGGCATTGTCAGAGCCTCTACAAATATTCTCAATCTGCATCATATCATGTGTTTTCCTAGTCTCCGCTTCATCCGCCTGGCTCACAGGGACTCCATAGACTATTACGTTGTTCATGCGCTGGAGACTTGCCCGTTGCTCCTCCTCTCCCTTAACAGTATTTCTGCTAGTTGCCATCTCTTCAACATACTTCTTCAGAATCCCTAGCTGCTGCAGAACCTGCTCTGATCCTGCATTACTCTCCGCCACCTCCCATGGCCCTGCTAAGCTGAGCATAACTCCTCTTCACTACCACCTCCGTTCTATCAGCTACTTCCTCAGTCCTAGCAAGGATCTCTTTCTCAACTTGTTCAAGTTTGGCAACCAGCAAGGATCCAGCTTCATCTATTTTCATCCCTGGGAAACTCATTTCCCTATGGCTTGCAATCGCTTCTCTTACCTTTATGGTGCAGCCAGGGCAATACCAACAACAGCCTTCATTCTTTACAGCAAGTTGTACCATCCTAAACGTTGTATCTACCTCCAACTTCACCCCGCAGTAATTACATGTCAACAGATTTCATGGTACCGCCTTAGCCCCTGGTTTCTGACCCCCCATGGTTGTTGCTGTTTAGAAGGAGGGAGGGGGGTGCACAGACTGTACAGATCTACTCAGCCTTAAGCCCACCAGTTTACCAAGAAATGTATTTCAGATTGTCTTTTTAATAATAATAATATTATTTATCCTTATTATTACTGTGATAATTGCTTTTAATCTGTGACCTGGTAGCAGGGCCTTAGCATGAAGGTCCCTTTAAAAGCCCTGTTCCGTTGCCTGGGTGTAGGCCATTATGGCTAGTGTCATCCACCAGGCAAGCACAATTTATTTCATCTGAGGAAGTGATATACACCTCAGTGGGATGACTTCCTTTATAATCACATCTACTAATTGAAGTCTAAGTAAAGTGAGATATGAAGGTGATCGTGACCTTATGGCAATTCAGTGTTATTTAAAAAGGAAGAAGAAAAAACAAATAAAACCTAACTGCCTCCTGTTGGTGTTTTAACCTCCTCAGCACTGTATGTCCTGTGTTGCCTTATGAGTTGTCTTCAGTTTTTTGCCTCTTTTTCAGTTCACCTCGGCGATTTGAAGGTATCTATGTGCTATCTCTACGTACACTGCGTTTTACTATGAATGACGGTTTATACGCCCACTCAGTCCTTTAGAAACACACACACAAAAATCTTTCTTTAGGGCAGTAATAGAATGCCTTTAAGGATAGCCAAGCTTGTTGATTTTTTTTCATTTTAACTATTATTTTGTGGTTGTAGGCCTCTTGACCTGGGCTGCACCTCCAAATAGGTGGAGAATGAGTTTTCAAATATACAATTGTGTCTAGCATTAAAAATCCTACATCTTTTTACACATTCTCATCACTAAGATGATCTTGATAATCTTATGTAATCACCGCCCAATTTCTGCCGCTCAACAACGAAGGCCCGAGTGTCAAACACACTTGTTACAGAGACGCAACACGACCTGACCCACACACTAACCCCCTACGTATAATCTTCCCGATGCAGTTGTACCAATGCGTTGATTTCATCACATGCAACTGGTTAACCTAACCTTCCACCTTGGAGGCTACTATTGGAAAATATATTACTTTTCTTCTAAAACAAACATCCCTGAATGGCAACATCACTAATTTAACCAGCCAATGCTTCTTCTGTTGCAGTCAGGTGGTGGTGGTACACAAATTGGTCCTCCTAAAAAGTAAAAACAGATTTTAATATATTACTTGGTAAAGCATACCAATAGTAAACAGCTGCTTATCTGAGTATACGAGGTCTGTCCGGAAGGTATCCAGCCATTGTGAACATTGTGAGAACTGGTCGCTCGGCCTTGATGTAACTTATCAGCCACTCAGAGAGGACCGTACTGCGCATGCATGAACAGTCACACTCCCGTGGGACAACTCAGTTGACAGGCCGACGCCGTTGAGTGAGCGTGGGTACTGTGTGACCGTCGCATTTACAATGACCAAACAATAACGAAGGAGTACTACATCGAAGTTCTTCACCAGCTGAGGGATGCGGTAAGAAATAAACAACCGCAGCTGTGGGCAAGTGGTGACTGGCAGCTTCATCATGACAGCGCGCCTGCCCATTCTTCAATTCTCGTGCAGGGTTTTTTGGCAAAACCTCGCATCACCCAGGTCTCTCAGCCCCCCTACAGCCCAGATTTGGCTCCCTGCGACTTCTGGCTTTTCTCAAAGCTAAAATCGCCGTTGAAAGGGAGGAGATTTCAGACCGTGGACAAGATTAAGGAGAATGCGACGAAGCAGCTGATGAAGATCCCGAAAGAGGACTTTGCAGACTGTTTTGGAAAGTGGAAGGGATGCTGGGAGAAGTGTGTGAGGTCCCAAGGGGAATACTTTGAAGGGGACTAAGGTGCCATTGTCCTAGATAAGCAATATTTTTTTTAATAGTAAATGGCTGGATACTTTCCGGACAGACCTCGTATGCGAGATCACAGAGTCCTGTTGTCTATAAATATATGATTAAAATTACAAAATGTATGAAGACTGTCATGACAGTCAATGTAAACTAAGATGATTGAAAGCCAAGGTTAGGTTAGGTTAGGTTAGGTTAGGTTAGGTAAGGCTGCCAAGGTTTTAACCACTGATATGAGAGTAACCTTTATGTTAATATCTAATCAGGAGTAGGAAACTTTACTAACAATCTAGGTTCCTGCTCTCTTCTAAGGCATTTATGGTATAATACAGTAGGTTAGATTTGGTGACCAAGAGATTAACTGAGAAGTTTCGCTTACAATAATGACATTAGAAAATGTTTTAACAGTGTACAGTACATGATAATGTTTTGCTACTTCCAATTACCAACAATATTGGTTGTTCAATGTGGGCAGGGCTTGAAGGCGAGGAAACATATGGGGTAAAATACTGTAAAGAACACCAAAGAAACCTTTAAAAACCTTAACTAACTTCTAAAACCCTAAAACTTTGAAGGACTTACCTTATTCTTCTTGTTTTCAGTGTTTACTGTGTTGATGTAGTTTTTGTTGTTCAGGTAATGGTGGATGTCAAGATGATCATAAGTGCACCCTGCGGGGTCTAATTTTGTTATGCCATGATTTGCTTAAGTCCCCTACTCAATTATGTATTAGTCGCAGTGATTGGCCAAGAGAAGACACACCACTGCCACCTGTCGGCATTTTGAGAACTAATACTAGAGTTTGTATGAACACCACAACTCAGTCCTGAACCAGTAGTGAATTGCTCTTGCAGTAGTTCGTATGGACTTCAGATCTCCTGGAAGTTACTAACTTCGTAACTCAGCAGTGTTAGTGAATCTGGGCCAAGGTCATGAATTTAATTTGAAAGAATATTAGCCAAGTTTGGCTGTACCATGAGGCATGCAGATTTCCATTGTCTACCGAAAATATTATCATACAGTACTGTACTGTAATGGTGATAATTTTAATAAAATATTTATATTGGGTAGGTGTAATAATCCCCAAAAGTTTCATGCTTGTAACTTAACAATGCTTGTTTCCTCTAATCCAGTTGGTATGCTTATGAACATGTCTGGCGTCGTGACAAAGCTGGAACAGTGTCTAGGTTCTGCAAAAGCAGCCCTTCTGTTAAAGAATATGATGACAAACTGAGGTTCTATACTCATCTTGCCTCGGAACTCTCCCAGGCATCACAAGAAGTAACTCATGGCTGTGTAAGGTATGACTGTAAAAGTTAGACTTGTTTGTTTAAATAAAAATAGCAATTCTATGAATAATAATTTGGTTTTCTTTTTTGACAAAAAGAAGAATCGCATTCCATAAAAAAATAAAAGCGATGTTCAAAAAATTATCGAAAAAGAAAAAGTTTCTTCATTTATCCTTTTCTTCAATTGATTGTCTGTTTTCTTTTGCCACATTTTAAAGTTCATTTGATCTGCAGTGTATGTTCATAATTTAATAAGAGTGTTGAAAAGATTATTTATTACCCAGCACTGTACTTTATCCTCTTCATCATTGTGTCTTCTTAATTTACTAGCTCTGAGAATTTCAATGAACAGATTTTCAGGAAAATTTATGTGTACTGTACTATATATGTTTCCTATTTTGTGAGTGGAGGAAAAACACTCGTAGAAAATATATACACTGATAAATTTTTGATGACTTTTTTTTTAGTTTGGATGTTCGATTACTGGTGAGTCAGATAGTAAGTCATGCTATGGATTGGGTGAAGCTACTAGGTAGTGGATTACTGCAGGAAGCACGTTCCCGTCTTCAGCATGTTCTTCATCAGGTCACAGTAAGTTTCGTCAGAGTTTTTGTAAAACTACCTGATAGTGGTACATTGTTTTATGGAGTGTATAATTCTCAGAGTATAAATTTAAAGGAAAGTTTCCAGATGTATGAAAGGATGCCTTGGTAAGTGAACGTATAATTGATGTTCATGGGGTAAATATGCCTCGGATTGTAAAATCCAAAGGCCTTCATATTGGTCACACATGACTGACTCGTGTTCTTTTAATGGAGAGGGTACCCCCCCACCTTGTGATGACTGTCTGGTCCCATTGACTGTTTGACACCTCCTGGTGGAGTGCCTCAATCTCAGAGTTCTTCGTTGTAAGCACCTTCCCCAGTGCCGGGGAGGAGACGGGTCTTTTTGCCTCTCTTTGGTGCTGGGGGTGAGTATGGTTTTACGAAAGTTCTGTTATTTAATACAGTCAACCCTCACTTTACGCGGTCCCACATTCCGCGTTTCCACGTTTACACGGTGCCCTGCCAGAACCCAGGATGCTCACATTCCGCAGTGGGTGTACCCCTTTACACGGGTGAAGTATAATTTTTTTATTTAGCTCATAAAATTCATACAAATTATCCGGCCAGAATATAATTTACATTGCTGGAATTCTTACAATTTGATGATCATTTTGAATATAAACATCATAGATTTTGCATTAAACATACAAATTTTAGATATAATGTTTACTCTTGAGTAAATATGTTATCTTTTGTGCAAAATATATGATATTTATATTCAAAATATTCCTGGTCTTACAAGGAATCCAGCAATGTCAATTATATTATCCTAACTTTAGTCTGATTTATTTATTTACTAAAAAGGTAAACAGTCTGGTATTCCCACACATTTATCTAGTAGGGACGTTGGTGGGGGGAGGGAGGGAGGGACCTGGGACTGACCATCTGTTACCGTGTGAAGAATATTTTTTTTTTATTAACTGAAGATTTTTATTTTAGCTCATAAAATTCATACAAATTACCCGGCCAGAATATAATTTACATTGCTGGAATTCTTACAATTTGATGATCATTTTGAATATAAACATCATATATTTTGCATTAGACATAAAATTTTTAGATATAATGTTCACTCTGAGTAAGTATGTTATCTTTTGTGCAAAATACATGACGTTTATATTCAAAATATTCCTGGTCTTACAAGGAATCCAGCAATGTCAATTATATTATCCTAACTTTAATCTGAGGTATTATTTAATACAAAATGTTAAAATTTATTTTTTTCACCCAACATCTCTTGAAGGGAGGATTGGTGGGGGGTGGGGGGGAGGGTTGGGACGGACCGACCATCTGGCCTGGTTGGAAGAGGGGGGAGGCAAGGTGGGGTACTTTGATTGACAGATAGTGTCGTGAAGAATATTTTTTTTTTTTATTAACTGAAGATATTTGTTTTAGCTCATAAAATTCATACAAATTACCCGGCCAGAATATAATTTACATTACTGGAATTCTTACAATTTGATGATCATTTTGAATATAAACATCATAGATTTTGCATTAGACATACAAATTTTAGATGTAATGTTTAAGCTGAGTAAATATGTTATCTTTTGTGAAAAATATATGACATTTATATTCAAAATATTCCTGGTCTTATAAGGAATCCAGCAATGTCAATTATATTATCCTAACTTTAGTTTGAGGTATTATTTATTACTATACCTGGTTTTCCCCCAAAAATTTCTCAGAGGGAAGAGCCAGCAGTGTAGTGTGAGAAGAGGGGGAGGGAGTCGTGTCCATTATTTGAATGGACATTAACTTGGCGACTGTATTTCTCTATTTCTCTTAAGTATTAATTGTGTGCATGTACCATCATAAAATTAAGATGTTATTTTTACTACAACATAGTTATGTGTCGTCAAAAAGTGGAGTTTGGGGATCGGCCTGGACTCCATTTCAATTAATCCCATATGTTATGTTATTCACTTTACGCGTTTCTCGCTTTCCGCGGTACCCTCCGGGTTACATTAACCGCGTAAAGTGAGGGTTAACTGTACTTATGTTTTTAATTTTGCATTATTTGATTTTAGTCTTTTAAGCCTTTAATGTATTTAAAGTGACATATGACCTAAGCTCTTGCTTCGCCAGGGATGTAATTACCGCAACAAATTTTTTTTTTTTAGATCTTCCTGTAGTTTTGCCTAGTCATCATCAGATTTAATTATACGCCCTATTTTAGTGTTGTCAGCAAATTTACTTAAGTTGCTGTCTACGCCTATATCTATGTCATTTATGTATATTAGTTAGTATCTCTTAATTTAACGCGGTCAATTGAATCCCAGAGGGTCCCTGCTAAGTGAAAACCGCTGCTATGAATAACAGAACATATGGGATTAATCACAGAATTCCAGCCCCACCCCCAAACTCCACTCTTTTGACGACAAATAACTATGTTAGAGTAAAAATTTATCTTAACTTTTTATGGTGGCATGAAAAACAAGTAACATAAGAAGAGTGTTAGGGTTAGGAAAGATAAAGGTTAACATGAAAAATAAAGAATAGGTTAAAAACGAAAAGGTTTAAGGAACACTCACGGTAGTAGAAGAGGATGGGTCGGCATAATGATGGAGGTTGTCTGAGGCAGAGGGCAGATTATTAGTTCCCTCAGGTGAATCACTATTACTAGGTGAATCACCATTACTAGGTGAATCAATATCACTGTCACTTTACAGTTGTCATGGCTTCCTGACAAATCCTCAAAAATCAATTTCACTATCACTTCATTACCGCCTTTGGGCTGGCTGTGGTGGGGTTGCGGCTAAGAACTCGGTTATGTTTTTCTGACGGCTGGCTTTGATGTTGTCGTGGATACACCTTGATGCCCATAGCCTGCACCAGTCGGGTTATGGAAGACGTTGCCATGCTTCATCGTCAGTGTCGCGGGAAACGATGGACTTAATTTTTTCTGTTAACTCTATGACACACCTCTATCACTATGACTTAAATCCAGGCTCTTCGGAGAATGACTTAATTCTTCCTCCTCTTCACTGGATGGTTCTTTCTTCCAACATCTCGTCGGCAGTCACTTCAGGATCTCTGATCACCTCCATGATGTCTTCGTTGGTGGTCTCGGAGAAGCCTTCAGCTGTAACAGTCTGCTAGCTTCTCTGGCAAGGTCCACACTGCTACTGCAACAACAGTCTGAACTCGAATGACCAGTAACAGATTGACTCCTCCTTCACCTGGTATGCTATGCAACACATGTCTCCATGCGTACGAATCGTGAGCAGTAGACAGCAGATCCCATGCCTCCACCAAGAAGTTCTGTTGGCTTGTTTGACGCTAAACTTCTTCCAAAATTGTTTGACGAGAACTTGAGTCGCCGCTTTCTGTTCCTTTGTCCTCGGGCTTTTATTTCCTCGCTGTCGGTGTCACCCAGCTTACGAACTCATCCTTGGTGTTAGAGTCGTTCAGAGCTTGAATTTCTTTTGCCGAGTATGCAGCTTTAATCGCTTGCAGATTAACTCCTGGTCCATAGGCTGATTAATGACGGTGTTGGGAGGAAGGAAGACCACTTTTACGCTAGTGACGATCCACAGTAGGGCGAAAGTCCAGGTCAAGGAGCACAAAATGTTGAATGAACATCTTGTTGCTCGTGAGAATTTCTGCACGCCAGGAACAAAAAAGGTCAAACCAGAAGAGGGACAGAGAAGAGGGACATCCTTACTTGGCAGGGAAGAATAGTGGACATTAAGCTTGTTCATGTCCATATTCTTGTAGGCGTATGGTTGGCGTGGCTTTTAGAATCACCGATAACTTTGGTTTACAGGTACCGGAGGTATTGGTGGTAAACAGGATGGTGGATATGCTCCTTCTGCATCTTTCCGGCCCCTTTACCTTGCTCAAGAGACTGACAACGAAGGTCTTGAAGGCTGCACTTTTTCCAGAAAAGACCAGATTCGTCCATGTTAAACACCTGGTCGTCAGTGTACTGTCCTTCCTCCATAATCTCACGTAGAAAACGGAGGAAAAATCTCTAGTCAGCCAGACGGTCAGCACTCGCTTCCTCACCAACAATGCTGATATTGGTGACCTTGTTCTCCTTCTTAAACCTATGCAGCCAACCATGGGAAGCATTGAAGCGGTTTGGGCTCTGCAATTCCCATTTTACGTCACTGCTGCGTGAGATAGCTCACGCGGCGCATTCTCTGCACCGAGCGCCAAGTTCACGCCATGTTGCGCTGCGCCTGACGCACCAAATAACTCACCAGCAAAGCTTCCACTTTGCCAGCACTCTTGTTCTGGCAATACCTGATAGCTGAAGCACCTGCAGACTTTGTGAGTTTATGTGCTCCCTTTATCTTGGCAGCATCCTTTCTGATCGCATTTAATCGTGAGATTCGTTGACGCCATGCTGGCGCTGCCGAGATCAACTTGGCTGCTTCTTCCTTTTCCAAATCTTGAACAATGGTACTTCAGCTCAGCTTAATGAACGGCGTGTCTTCTTGGTTTATGCCGCTGGGTCCAGGTAAGGAAAGGTTTCTCTGGGGTGGTGGAACCGCGGAAGCCATTTTACGGAACAATGGATGCGCTGCTAACACGGGCGTGGCCTTGAGGGATGAAACTGCCGCTGCTAGGTCAAGCGTCGCCTCTCCTCCTCCTCCCTCCCCCCCGGGTAGTCACGCTATAATACTTTAAGCCAATACAGCTAGCAGCAGAGGGGGGCTGCATGGCCAATCATAGTCCGGAGACGCCATATGACGTCAGTGATAACGCAACAAAGACACACACTGCGAACCACCGCCGCTTGCCCAAGCGGAGGGAGGAGGAGGGAGTGGCAGGCAGGCAGGCGGAGGGCGGGCGGGCGGTGGCGCGTGGTCAAAATCTAAAAATAGCATCCAGCCGGACACTCACCGCGTTGCTGTGGAAAAATCCGCGTTATGAAAGTTCAGCTTTGGCAAGGCATCACAGAGGCGCGTAAAAACGCATAGGTGCTAAGCGGGATAATACTGTACAGTGGTCCCTTGTTAATCGAACAAAATTTGT